GTTGTTTTTTTTTGTTTGTTTGTTTGTTTGTTTGTCTCTGATTTTCTTTTTTCGTTTCACTTTTTTTCTATAGTTCTTTCTCTCTTTTCTTTCTTTTCTTTCTCTCTCTGGCGCTCTCTCTGTCTATCTATCTATTTATCTGTTGCTGTCTGTCTGTCTAAATGTCAGCTAGGCAGTCTGTCTGACTGTCTGTCTGTCTGTCTGTCTGTCTGTCTGTCTCTCTCTCTCTCTCTCTCTCTCTCTCTCTCTCTCTCTCTCTCTCTCTCTCTCTCTCTCTCTCTCTCTCTCTCTCTCTTTCTTTCTCTCTCTCTCTCTCTCTCTCTTTGCTCTCTCTCTCTTTATCTCTCTCTCTCTTTCTATCTCTCTCTCTCTTTTTATCTCTCTCTCTTTCTCTCTCTCTGTCTCTGTCTCTGTCTCTCTCTCTCTCTCTCTCTCTCTCTCTCTCTCTCTCTCTCTCTCTCTCTCTCTCTCTCTCTCTCTCTCTCTCTCTCTCTCGCTTTACCCTAAAGATCAAACCAAAACACGTCTCCTTCACCTCTTCACTCCAATCCGACCAAATAACAACTTTTCTATAACCTTACAACGAGGTCTTACCTTGCCAAGCAAATAACAACTTTTTTCACAACCTTACCTTGCCTCAGGAAAAGGGTGACGGTGGCCAGCGTGAGGATGAGCAGCCTGGAATGCATTTTCACTTCGTCTCCTGCAATTGAAAGAAAGGTGTTGAAGACATTGCAATGCAAGTTTGCTTGTTTTTTTTTGTTTTGTTTTTTTTTCAATTAAGGGGCGTTGGTGTCATTGGCTCTTCGGTTTGTTTGTGTGTGTGTGTGTATGTGTGTGTGTGTGTGTGTGTGTGTGTGTGTGTGTGTGTGTGTGTGTGTGTGTGTGTGTGTGTGTGCGTGTGTGTGTGTGTGCGTGTGTGTGTGTGTGTGTGATAAAGGCAACAATAAAATCAAATGATTCAAAGTGTAACTTCTTCACTGCAAGAAAAAAAAAAGAAGAGTAAACACATAATTGAATCAATAAGTTAAAAAAAATAATAATAAAAAATAAAAAAAATAAAAAAATCCCGGTCACTCGTATTTTTCATGTCAAATTGATAATTTTCAGCATTTTTTTTTCTTTTCTTTTTGAATGCTGAACTTTGATTGACATCATGTGACTTTGACCGATGAAAATTATAGAAGATTATATTTTCTGCAAAACATCTGCATACGAAAACTACTTTTATTTAAAAGAGTAAGTTGTAACGTTTCCCATAGAGACTGTTAGAAATGTCTAGTGCTCTAACATGCAATGATAAAGCTATTCGATGAAGAATTGATTGATGCAATAACACGCAATGCACCAAAAATACTAATTTTTTCATTTATTTGTCTTTTTTCTTATTTATCGATTTGTCTCTCCTTTCCATGCCCACTATTCGTCCCCATGTCCTCCACTCTCTTTTCTTTCCATCCTCTTCTCTCCGTCTCTCTTACTGTTATTTTTGTTAATATTATCATTATTAAAGTTATGTGTCATATTGTCGATATTAACATCACTACTATCATGACTGTTGTTGTCATTATTATTATGATTATGATATAATATCGTTATCAATAATATTACTGTTAGCATTATTGTTATCATTATTATCATTATTATCATAATTATTCTTACTATTATTATTATCATCGTTATTATTATATTATTATAAATATTCTTATGATCATAATTATCATGATCATAGTTATTATTATCATTATTATTGCTATCCCTATTATTATCATTGTTATTGCTATTATTATCATTTATCATTTTCATTATTATTATCACTACTACTGTTACCGTAATTATGACCATTATTATCTTAGTAGTGTTGTTATTGTTATTATAATCATTGCTATCATTACCTGTTATTAGTAGTAGTAGTACTAGTAGTAGCTCTACTAGTAATAGTAATAGTAATGTTAGTGTTGTTATTACTACTACTTGTATTATTACCATTATCATCATTATCATAATTCCATCATTACCTCCTCTCTCTCTCTCTCTCTCTCTCTCTCTCTATCTATCTATCTATCTATCTATATCTCTCTCTATCTATCTATCTATCTATCTATCTATCTGTCTATCGTTCTCACTCTGATTCTCTCTCTCTCTCTCTCTGTCTCTCTCTCTCTCTCTCTTTCTCTGATTCTCTCTCTCTCTCTCTCTCTCTCTCTCTCTCTCTCTCTCTCTCTCTCTCTCTCTCTCTCTCTCTCTCTCTCTCTCTCTCTCTCTCTCTCTCTCTCTCTCTCACTCTCTCTCTCTCTCTCTCTCTCTCTCTCTCTCTCTCTCTCTCTCTCTCTCTCTCTCATACCCTCCCCCTCTAACCTTTCTCTTTGCCTCCACGCACTTGTAGTAAAGGGCATATCTTTCACTAGGTATAAAGAAGGAAGTAACGTACAATAAAGAAGAAATTATACAGTGTCTCCGATCCCGAAATTCTTGGTTCTCTCCCAACTTTGCTTTTAAGGTTGGGAGACATTTGGACGAGGAGGAAGGAGGAGGAAGGAAAGGAAGAAGGAGAATTGGAGGGGGTAGAGGAAAGGGGAGAGAGGAGGAGGAAGGGGAGAGAGGAGGAGGAAAGGGGAGAGAGGAGGAGGAAGGGGAGAGAGGAGGAGGAGGGGGAAGGAGGAAAGCGGAGAGAGGAGGAAGGAGGAGGAAGGAAAGGAAGAATGAGAATTGGAGGGGGTAGAGGAAAGGGGAGAGAGGAGGAGGAAGGGGAGAGAGGAGGAGGAAAGGGGAGAGAGGAGGAGGAGGGAAGAGAGGGGGAAGGAGGGAAGGGGAGGGAGGAGGAGGAGGGGGAAGGAGGAGGAAAGGGGAGAGAGAAGGAGGAGGAAAGAAAGGGAGAATGAGAATTGGAGGGGGTAGAGGAAAGGGGAGAGAGGAGGAAAGGGAAGAGAGGAGGAGGAGGAGGAAGGAGGAAAGGGGAGAGAGAGGAGGAGGAGAGGGAAAGGAGGGAAGGGGAGAGAGGAGGAAGGAGGAGGAAGGAAAGGAAGAGAATTGGAGGGGGTAGAGGAAAGGGGAGAGAGGAAGAAAGGGGAGAGAGGAGGAGGAGGAGGAAGGAGGGAAGGGGAGAGAGAGGAGGAGGGGGAAGGAGGGAAGGGGAGAGAGGTGGAGGAGGGGGAAGGAGGGAAGGGGAGAGAGGAGGAGGGGGAAGGAGGAAAGGGAATAGAGGAGGAGGAGGAAGAAGGAAAGGGGAGAGAGGAGGAGGAGGGGGAAGGAGGGAAAAGGATGAATGAGAATTGGGAATAGAGGAAAGGAGGAAAGGAAAAGGAAGAATGAGAATTGGAGAGGATAGAGGAAAGGAGGGATGAGAAACGGGGAGAGAGAGAATTAAAGGAGATGGAAGAAAGGAGGGAGATGGAAAGGGAAAGTGGGGGAAGAAGAGAAGAGTAGGAGGAGAGATTGATAAATGGATGGAGGGGGAGGAGGGAGGAATGGAGATAAGAAGGGAGAGAAAAGGGGAAGATAATAGATGGGAAGATAGGAAAGAAAGAGTACAGAAAGGTGGCAGAGAGATATGGAGGACAGAAGAAATAAAAGGGATAAAGCGAAGAAGGGAGGAAAGAGGAGGAAAGGAAAATACAAGTAGAGAAGGAATGAGGAGGAGAGGGAATGAAGGATAAAAAGAGAAGAGTGAGACAGAGGCAGAAAGAGAGAGAGGGAGAAGAGGGGGGGGGGGGCGACTGACAGACAGGCAGACAGAGAGGTGGAAGAGGGGGAAGCGAAAATAAAACAACAGAGAGAGAGAGAGAGAGAGAGAGAGAGAGAGAGAGAGAGAAGAGACTGACAGGGAGAGTAGAGATGCGAGGTAGTGAGGGGGAAAAGAGAGAGACAGACAGACAGAAAGAGAAAGAGAGTAAAAAAAAAAAAAAAAAAAAAAGAAGAGGGCTCTTTACAACAAGAGGAAGTATATATAAAAAATATATATATTCTACTAAAATAACAATTTTTGAAAGGTGAAAAGTAACAAAAAAAAAAAAAAAAAAAAAAAAAAAAAAAAGAAGAAAAAAGTAAAAGGAAAACAGATTGAAAAAGATAAACACTGGATGAATCGTAAGAGAAAAAGCGTAGCAAAAAAAAAAAAAAAAAAAAAAAAAAAAAAAAAAAAAAAAGGAATTTTGAAAAGGAAAAGTGGAGGATTAAAAAAAAAAAGATGATTCAAATTGAAATTAAAATGATTTATTTTACATTGAACAATTATTAGTATTACTGCTTTTGATACTATTATTATAATTGTTGTTATAACCAGTATCATTATTGTTAGAACCATCATTATTTCTATTATCATTTTTATTATTGTTATTAATATTGTTACTGTTATTTTTATTATCATTATCATTATTATCATTACTGTTGTTGTTGTTATTATCATAATGATTATATTGATTATTATTATTATTACTATTATTATCATTATTATTATTGTTGTTGTTGTTGTTGCTGCTGTTGTTGTTGTTGTTGTTGTTGTTGTTATTAGCATTATTACTATTATTGTTATTATTACTAATATTATTAATAATATTATTATTATCATTATTGTTGTTGTTATTGATGTTATTCTTGTTACTCTTATTAATATCATTATCATCATTATCTTTGTAAATATTCTTGAAGATATTAAAGTGTAATAAAAGTGGATATGTAAAACGAAAATAATATTAAACGGGTACCGAGAAATATGATAAAGTAAAAGACAAAAAGAGATAATGTTGATAAACAGGCGAAGCGGAAAGACAGAGAGAGAAGGGGGGGGGCAGAAAAAGGGAGACAGAGAGAGAGAAAGAGAGAGAAGAAAAGAAAGGGTGTGCGATACCGAGTAAAAAGAGAGAGAGAAAAAAAAAGAATTATATAAAAAAAAAAAATTGTCAAAAAAATAAATGAATAAATAAACGAAAAAGTCAAACATTCGCATTACCTTTGTATCTCTGCCTTTCTCTTTCATGTTGGTTGAAGATGAATAGTAGCAT